ATCAAAAGATGCTTCTCTTGTTAAGGGTAACTTGGTACAATTAAGGTTTTATAAACCTAGGGTTTAAACTCACTGCAAGAAAAATATGCTATCTGTGAAGCAGGAAGTACAAGTGGCATTTTCAGGGCCACTAGTGATTATAGTTTCAGCTTTCTCATGACAGCTTAATCATCAACAGAACACTTAAGAAACTGGTGGCAGTATCAATCTAGCTTTTTTTATCAATTTTAGTTCCAGTTTGTTAGAACTGCCTCTTCAGTTTCTTTATGTGGACTTGCCTCTCCAGGTGTGTAATCTGGCAAGAGAAAGTCTTCAAATCTTCTGTCACGTTTACAGCCTTGAGTGAAACTGGAGTGGTGGGATGGGGAGAGACAAAGTGAAAAACCACCACAAAAGTCCCTGAAAAAGTAAAGCAAGATATTTTAAAACTGGAATCAGTAAAAATACTTCAGATACACTAAACATTTCTATAAAGTGTGAATTCCATTACTGTGCCCTGGAGGTACATTTCTTTACTATACCACTTTATACAATGTAAATTGGAAGTTACAACTCGATGGTAAAAGTTAAGTTAGCAAAAGGTCTCACACCTTTTAATGAATCTTACTTGCTTCAGTACTGATTTTTTAAATAGCTGTGCTTCTAGTATTTTTGCAGCCAAAGTGCAGGTTAGTCTACAGTTGTTTTGGGTTTTTTTAAAAACAAAAACAACAAACCCACAAACTTAGTTTAGCGGTAGGTATACTTTTAACCTACAGAATGTTAAGGATGACAGTAACGTACTTGAATTACGCGAACAAGGACATTGTGATACAAGGCTACTTAAGTTTTCTGTCTTGGGCTGCTATAGATAAAATAAATCTTAACTTTATATGGAGGTAATAGTGTAATGTTGTTCTCAGTTTGCCCCTTACATAACATCTTTAAAAAAATAGGGAGGGGGGGCGGAAGCTTCGGTAGAGGTGTTTGTAGTAAATACATATATAATGTATGCCCTGTTACTGTCTTTGCTGTTCAGGCGTAGTTAACCATCTGCCCTATCCAAATTAAACACTAGAAGGCAGAAAAATATAGTACTGTTACTAATCCTAACTGCACTTGAGGAAATTGTATTTCAGATTGCACTAGTTTGCAAGCATCTGCATAGAAAGGGAAATAGGATCAGTATTTGCCCTCTAATGACAGTTACTAAAGGGTCATTCCTGCATTATGTTTGAGGAAGTTTACACCGTTACGTGTACAGTGCATCTTTTAATAGCTGTTGAAATGTAAAACTGACTATTCCTTGGACTTTCTGGCAAATCTCACACAGACTTTGTGTCTATTAAATCAAAAGAAGCAAGAAAAGGCACAAACCAATAAACTCAGCAGCAGTGTCAGAGTCTGTCCTAATGAAAATTTAACATCAGTCTGAAACTAACAAATAGGACCAAGATGTACTTGAACAATCATAACCTTAGAACAGATAATCTCTATTGCCTAGGTGAAGTTGAAAGTGGATTGTTGTGGTCTGCGTGTCATAAGGCAGGATAGTTCCTGCATGATGCGGCAGATATAAGTTTTCTGCCTCAGTTGAATGTCCAAGGAAATCTGGTAGAGATTGCTTTGATAATGTTCGGTCCTACAGGCCTATCTGTAGGTCAGATCATAAAAATCCTTTCTTCATTATCCTTAATTTCAGTGTAGTTTATTAAAAATGCTGTTTGTTGATTACACAAGACATGGTGACAGCCATAAATTATTTTAAAAACTGCTTGAATTAAGATAATACGGCGGAGGATGCTAGTTGCAGTCTACCAGAGATCTATAAGAAACAAAAACTAAATGGAGTTTAAGTGTGTTTTTGTTTTGTTTCTTTTGCTTATGTTGTTTTTTATCCAAAACTAATGCTTCAGTACTTACTAGTCCTTCAACATGAATAGTTAATTTTCACTGTCGTGGTATGGAAAAACATGTTTTGAGGTCATCATTAGATGCTACTGAAGGAGTTGTATGACTGTTGTGAATGGAAGTTCAGTGCGTTTTGCATTTCTCATGTTAGAAGTTAAAGACCATCGTTAGTGTATCTGTAAGGAAAAAAAATCCAAGCATTCTACTGATATAAAATGTTTAACCACATCTTGAGTTCAGCAATTCATTCTGGCTCCAGCTATGCAGCAGTTCCTGGATCTGCTTGATCTCTACGTGGTGTGGTTATGAAGTTTGAGGTTTTCTCTGCAGTTCAGAGAAAATTAGACATCCATTTTGCTAGGGGGAAAAAAAAAAAAGAATCCAGTAGGTATACTGTTAGTCTAGACTCTGTGCACTCATTCAGTGTCTTGGTTTGGAATTCAATCTCACATCATTTTCCCAGAAGTCAATCAGTAGCATGACTGCAACAGCGGGCAGCTATGTGTGGTGAAAGCCTTCCTGCCTTGGTAGTGCTGTGTTGCTGCTTCAGAAGAAGAGCCGTTACCTAGGTTTGATTTAGCTCTGGAGGTAAAGGCTGCAGCAGGAAGTCTTAAGCCCCTGTCAGTTCTCCTGGTTTCTTAAAGCTGGCCTGTCACACGATCCTTTCGTCAAGCAGGTCCTGCAGGTCCCACTGTGACTGCTCAGAGCTGGACTTGCTGACTTGAGGCGTTTTTGTGCGAGTTCCCAGCTGGCGCCTCCGGTTCCAAAGCAGCGTGTTACTGGTGTGGCGCAGTCAGACTGAATTGCCGCAGTCCTGCTGTTGCCTTTGAGACCCTGCCTCTGCCTGGGTCTGTGGTAGAGCTGTGTGCTGCTGTTCCATCTGTCTGTACCACCCTTTCCCCTCCCTTAGAAAGAAGCTGTTGGAGGAGCAGGTGAGAGTACCTTGTGTGTTAGTAAGCAAGTACTGTAGTGCAGTTTTTCAAAATACCTATTAAAAAGTTTTACCATTCTTCTCCTCAAGCTTAAACCCTCCTAAGGCCCCTCAAAGGCTTTATGCTCTTACTATGGCTTGTGTTACCAGTACTGTTCCTCCTTTGTGTTTGGTCTGAGAGAATCAATCCACATGATGAGTTAGGGGTAGTAGTAACTACAAGAAAAGGCAGTTAACAGTTGCAATGCAACTAAGTGTTGCAGTTATGGGATTTTGTTTGTTTAGAAACTGTTGCTCAGACACACCTGTAAATGCAAATAAAGAAAATGTCTAACGATCCAGTTTATCTTAATTTCTGGAAAGCTTTGATGGGATTAGTATGACTGGTAACAGTACAGCTAGGCACTTGAAAGAATTTGTAGTTAGGAGCCGATACCACTTCCCTGCGTATCTGGAGTTACCCTACTGGCTTTCTTGAAGATTTCAAAGTTTCTTAAGCAAAACAGTGGCAATTTTGGCAAGCACGATAAAAATCAGATAGCCTCTGTGAAGAGCAAGTACAGTCTCCGAAGCCAGGGTTCTGGGTTCGAGGTGAGCTCAGCGCAATGAGGTGCTGCCGCGTAGCTGGGCGCTGTACCCGGCTGCTGCCTTGCCTTTCAGTTCTCGGAGGGAAGTAGGGGGACGTTTGCTACGCCGAGGACCTGAGCTGCCCCGTGTCCGCTTGGCTCCTTGGCACCGACCCGCCCTGGCTTCACGCACGTCCGGTTGCCCCAGCGCCTTTCTGCTGTGGGCGGGTGCGGGCGTTCCTGTGAAGTTGCCTCGGCGCCAGTACCCCTTCCCTCCCCCAGCATGGGCCCGGGGAGAGGTGCCGG